TATATAAGACAAACAAACTAAAAGAGAACCAAAAAACCCATTAGACTATAAAATTGAATTATTGATTATCAGAAAAAAAAGGTGGGGTGGGAAGGGGTATACATTGGATAAAAGGGATCAAATATGTGGTGAAACATAAAATTGAAATTTTTAGTGGTTAAGTTCATGAGATTCATATCAAGAAGAATTTCAATAGTGTGTATATACATATATATATGAAACTTATGCAATGCTATAATGTAATATCACTTTGATTTTTAAAGTATTAAGAGGGGGGGACAGTGCTGCCAGCAGGCAACCTGTACCCTTGGGGTGAGTATACTCAGCAGGCTTCCTGATACCTCCAAATTACTGCTGTGCCTCTGGCTGGATCCTAACAACTCAAGAAGCAGCCAGAAATTAGGTATGTGGGAGCCATACCTACAAACCACCTCCAGCTCAGCTATCCAAGTTCATTTATAGGCCTGGCTTCAGAGATCCATAAGTGTATCTCAAAAGAGATCAAATGCCACACTTAATCTCAGACCTGGGCAAAGCTGAACAGGGTAAATCTGAGACGGGAGGATCAGCCTGGTGCCCACCTAAGCAGAGGCCCTGGCCCCACAATCTAAAATCACTGCCATGCCCTCTGCCAGACTCTACCTTCTCAAAATGGATCTTGCTGACATATAATCAGCTGAAAATTCAGGTATGCAGGTTTTGTGACTAAAATCTCCAGGCTTTCGCAGGTCAGGATGGGCTACCTTCCCACATCTCCCTGTGTTCCCAGTCACATCCACACCCCAAAGTTGTAACCCAGTTAGAAAAAGCTACTGAAGCCTTACCACCCAATAAAAATACTGAACACCCTAAACAAACACGATGATCTCTTAGCATCTGTATTGCAAGCCTGTATTGTATGCCCTAAAATAGAGAGAGAAAAAAGAAAAATGCCTACCATAAAGGCAGGTGAAGGGGAGAGGCGGTGTTGGGGGATGGTGGGAGGAAGATGGGGGACATTAGTGGTGGGAAATGTAAACTGGTGGAGAGATGGGTGTTGGATCATTAATGACTGAAACCAAATCATGAACAGCTTTATAATGGTCTATCTCACGGATATTCAATAAAAAATAAAAATTTAAAAATAATAAATAAAAGTATTAAGAAGTAGAAGTAGGGGACCAGAGGGGTAGTACACGTGCCTTTCAACCCAGGTTTAGTTCCTGGCACTCCATGTGGTCTCCAGATCCCCACCAGGAGTGATTCCTGAGTGCAGAGTCAGAAGGAAGGCTTGAGGACCGCCAGGTGTGCCCCCCCCCCAAAAAAAAAACAACCAATAAGCCAGAGATATAGCTATAGCTCCTGTTGTACAGCACATGTCTTCCTTTACATTTAGGTTTCTTATATAACTTCTTCATATTTGCAGGATGGATTCAAATTTAATGTTAATAAACTAAGAATCCCGGGAAAATCCTAAACAAATTGGAGGGCAGGTAACTTCAGCTTTATTTAAAGCCTTTGAAGGAAGTATAAATACATTTGAGAGCTGTTTCTTTTTATTCAGAGAAGCTCTGGGAATTATCTGGAAAGAAGTCAAAAGTTCTTGATTTTTTTTTTTTGGCATGAATCAAGTCTGTTTTTCATTTCTTTTTCTCCCTGAGTCTCCCTTGTCTTCCCATTACACCACTGAGTACCTTGAGGGAAAAAAAGCTTGTCTTCAACCACGTTGTTTCATGCATCACCACACACAGGACTCAGCTCTGTAGACATTACTTTAGTTCAGGTGCTAGTCACCTCCGATGCTCGTGTTCTATCAGTCTCAGGGGAATGGTACCCACCTGCTGAATTTTTCATCAACACAAATTAAAGCTGACTCACTAACAGCCCTGTTTCAATGAGCTTCCAGTTAAATAAATGCCTTCTTTCTTGTAGATTCTAACTTTCCTAATTTGCTATAGGCTACCTTCATAATAGTACTTCATACTCTGAAAGATGTATGTTTTTGGAGATAAAACATAACATAAAGTTTCTATATTCTATTTTTGAAAGTTTGGGAGTCAACTGGACTTTTGCAAATAAGGGTCTTCTTGCAGTGGAGGGAAGGTGAGGAGGGTGGCAAGAGGGAACCTGGGGACACTGGTGATGGGAAATGTACACTGGTGAGGGATGGGTATCGGAACATTGTATGCTAAAATCCAATCATGAACAACCTTGTAACTATGTATGTCACAGGGTGATTCAATTTTTAAAAAAGAAAGGAAGGAAGGAAGGAAGGAAGGAAGGGAGGGAGGGAGGGAGGGAGGGAGGGAGGGAGGAAGGAAAAAAGGGAAAATACTAGAAGGGGTCAGAGGGATAGTAAAGCAGGTAGGGTGTTTGCCTTGCATGGGGTCCACCTGGGTTTGATTCTGGCAACTCATTTGGTCCTTCAGGAGTAATTCCTGAGTGCAGACTCCTGAGCATCACTGAATAGGACTCAAAAACAGAAAATGAAAATAAAAGAGAAATGAAATACTGGGCACATTCATTCTGTGGCACACTGTCTCTAAACCCGCAACTCCATGGCCAGGTATGTATGTCCCTCCCCTCTCTGCCTTGCCTCCTCTCCTACAGACCAAAGAGCTCCCACGGTTGCAGGATCCTCTGAATGCCTTCTTTGTCTGTGGAAGTGTAAGCAAGAGGTGATGGACTAAAGATAAGAAGCCTGAAGGCAGAAAGTGGAAAGACCTTCTGCCCCTGAAATCCCCGGATACATCATCAAACTTGAGTCCTACCATCACCCATTTTCATTCTCCTGGACTATTTTTTCCCCTTGCTCTCTCTGATACTTCTAACCACCACTTCCCTGCCCTTTGGCTCACCAAGGAACACTATGAGATCTTAGAGGTTTTTATTCGACGACCTTCCCATAGATCATGGACACTCATCGCTTTACCTTGAGTCACTGTTATTTGTGACACTGGAGAAGAATTAGGAAATGAAAACGCTCCACCAAGACAGGCTGAACTGGCTCTCTTCCCCAGGAACACTAGATTCAAAGAAGAGTGACACAGAGATGGACAAACTCCATCACCGCAGCAATGCCTTTCAGGCCTGCTCTGCAAAAGTCAGGGGCTGCGCAGGTTCTCCTCATCCACTCTGAAACTGACTTCTCTGGGTTCCAAATCATGGAAGCCTCTCCACGCTACCCCCACATTGCCTAAGTCAGCCAGGGACCAGTTCCTAGATTTGCATTAGACAATATCAGCCTTCTATCACATGCAAACACCCCTTTCCTTGCCCGGGCCATTGGGAGCTCTGGGGCATATATGCACATACAGGTGGTCTCATGTTCAACAGTGCCCAAAACCCAGAATAGTGTGGGGATCCATCTTGCTGGTCCTGGTGAGCTCCCTACCTCCTCTTGTCTGTGACTTCTGCTCGTAAACCACATGCTCACATCTGGGCCTTCCTTTGTCTCAGCAGTGACCTCAACATCAGCTAGTACATGGAAACTGCCGAGTTCAATCTTCCCTAAAACCCCACTTCTCTACTTTTCAAAATCTTTCTCCTCCCTTGCTCAGAAAGGCAGAAGGACTCACCCTTTGTCTTTCCCAGGCCTACTCTCTCACCCCCTCCACCCCGTCTTTTCTTTTTCTTGACTTGCTACTCTCCATTGGCTGTACCCTCCTCTGTCCCAAACACCTTGAAGGCCTCCTGATTCTGGAAGGGTCTTTGCCAGCATCCCCCACCAGCTAACTAAACTAGTTCACTCCCCCTGTCCTCAGCTGCACCTCATCCCTGCCTCTAAAATTCCAAAACCACTCTCAGGCTTCTGCCCCCACCAATTTTGCCCAACACCATAGAAATTGCTCTCATGAGGGAATTTTCAAAAGGCCAAGTCTAGTGGGTGTACTGATTCTGTTTGTATCTTCTTAGGGGTTCTTTCCAGCAGAGCTTGGGGGTCTCGGGGGATCATATGGGCTCTTTTGGCTCTCCTACAGACAGATATACATTCTAGTCCTCTGCGCTATTCCCTGATGGTCTTATTTTAGTTCTTAACCCAGGAACAACTATTGTAGAAACTTTCAGTAGGTCTGAAGAAAACAATTTCTTCTCTCTTTGATTCTAATGTATTTATTTATAGAGTCTCCGAAGCAGCGTTCAGAGGATCCAAGACCACTCCCAATGATTCTCCATTATCATACCAGATATCCACTGCTCTGGCATGTGAAATACGTCTCTGCCTGGACTCAGCAGGCCAGGAGCCCCAAGGCCATCCTGGAGTCACTCAGAGTTCCAGGGATTCACCAGGTGATTCTCAGTGTTGGGAGCTGGGGATGTGGTGCCAAGGATTATACTCTAGTCTTTACACACACACAGCATGAGCCCTTGATACCTAGGCTACCTCCCTAGTCCCTCTCTTATGTCTTTTAAAAGCATCCTATTTATCTTTCCCCCACCCGACAAGGGCATATATACATAGTACATTCTCCCTTACAGCTAGAGACCTCTTAAGTCATGGCAAACTTCTGGTCAATGATATATGGACAGAAGACAATGTGTCCAACATCTGGTTCTTGTCTTTGAAAGGAAGGAGTGTGTCTCCACCTCCCTTTTCCACTTCTGACTGGCACCCAACAGAATAGGATGGGATGTGGTCTACATATGCCACATTTGTCCTTCAGACAAGAAAGACCTGGGGATGCTGAAAAAAATTATAAGGTAGCAGAGATCTCAGTGACCTCCTGGAAACAACTGCTGTCCCTGCCAGGTCAGCCCTTGAACTCAGCAAGGTTAGTTCACTGGCTAAAGATCACAAAACTAGGGGGAATCAGAGGAAGGCTAAAACCCAAGTCAAGCTTCGCATCCTCTCCAGTAGACTGCTTGTTAAATCATAACTTATTCTGGAAGTATAAATCCTAACAGCCTCAATTACCACCAGCCCATGTGTACTTCCAACTCTCACATTTCAATTTAGCATCAAATAACTTGGCTCTTGTGCAGGGTTTTAAAATATTTGTATGAGCTCAATGTTTACATACCTTGCTTGAGATTGTCTTTCTCCTCCTGAAGCACTAAAACTTCTTTTTAAAATGCCTGAAACAAGACAATAAAAACAACTGTGTTTTCCTGCTAAAAGTCTTTCATATGATTTTTAACGCTGTATTTTGGGAACCTGAGAAATAATAAAAGAGATCAAGGTGCATGCCTTGCATGTGGCTGACCCTGAATTCAACCGCCAGTACTATATGGCCACCCAAGCATCACTGGGTGCAGCTTTGGAGACTCTTTCAAGCTGGCCTGGGTAGACCTTGGCCTTGTAGGACCGAGCAGCACCACGCCTTGGGCTCTCACATTAAACACCCAGGGCCCAGTTGGCTGAGAATTGCAGGCAGCAGGGAGTCCCTGGCCTCATAAGTACCTCTTGAGAGCACTCCCATACCCCATCCAAAGGTGCTACACATTCTATTAGCTGAATTTTAGAAAATTGTGTTACTACAAACAACTGTCTTTATTCAGTTTTGTTGGTGCCACACTCAGCAGTGCTCAGGATTTATTCCTGGCTCTGAATTCAGGAACTACTGCTGGCAGTTAAGGATGACCATATGGGATCCAACCTGGGTCAGCAGCTTACAAAGCAAATTTCCTACCCATTCCAGCCCTCTCTTCATTTTTTTAGAGCATCATCTAAAATATAATGTTGCAAATTGCCATCTAGTTGACAGCCTTATTTCAATTTCTTTATTCCAAATAAAAGGTATCCACCAAAAAATCTTTTATTAATAACTAATACAGTACAATTAAGTGGTTGCATGATCATCTTAAAACCCTTGCCACCAGAGGGAAGTTGCCACAGGCAAATTTCAGAAATCTGATTTTCCTTCCTGAAGTCCATAATGACCCCTTCTCCATCATTATTACTAGACATATAAAACACAGAATTCATTTTAAATGCTAGTCAGTAACTACTTCTAGAATTTTATACGTGTGCATGAATATTTTTCCTCTATAATACTCATATTTTTCTCAGTCAGAAATCAAGATGTTTAACCTGACAGGCAAGAGTGTCAGGGAAAACAGAGCAGAGTGTTGGAAATTGGGATCATCCCAGAAAATCCTGAACAGCTAGTCACCATTTTGATGGACAATTTCCAAAGCAATTAGGTCTAGAAAGGAACAAAGAATATAGCTAAATCCTCAGGCTATGCTCTGATCCTTAATGAAACTATTTTAGAAATTCTTCAATGTGATTTTCATTGCGGGATAGAATTATTTACACTTCAAGTATTTCTTTCTCATTAAATATTCCATTAACTTACTCTTTAAAAGTTATTTTCTTCTCCATTTTCTATTTGATCATTTTTTTCTTTAAATTTTAGATGTTCTGAATTCAATACTATCCTTATACTCTTTAAATATCACCTAAGGATTTCTCTTCTTTCTCATACCTCATTACTTTCCACACTGTTTCAAATTAAGAATCAAGCGGAGGGGGCAGGGATGTGGCTAGCAACTTCACGTGTGAGGAACTGGGCTCAACTACAGAACCACATTCCTCCCTTCCCCAACATAATGGCCCCACACAATGAAAGCCAAAATTAACACATGGAACGGATTTTGTATTATTTTTATATTATTTTATATTTATCATCTCTCCATAGTTCTAAACAACTACAAATGTTTGGTATAATATAAATAAAATTGTTACAAAATTTAAATCTACAGTAAGACTAGTCATGCTCTGCATTTCTAGCCTCTAATTAATAGTTTGTTTGTTTGTTTTGCTTTTTGGGTCACACCCAGCAAAGCTCAGAGGTTACTCCTGGCTCATGCACTCAGGAATGACTCCTGGCAGTGCTCGGGGGACCATATGGGGTGCTGGGAATAGAACCTGGGTCGGCCATGTTGGCTGCGTGCAAGGCAAACGCCCTACCCGCTGTGCTATCGCTCCAGCCCCCTAATTAATAGGATTTTTAAAGATCATTTCCTTACTTCCTTTTATGAGATTACTATCTCAGAGATCTATGTCTTCAAATTAGTTAGCTCCATCTCCCAGCAGAAAAGAGGCATCTGCCGGTAAAAATGATGAAACGAGGGACTGGAGTGTAGGACACTTTGCTTTTGCATGCAGCTGACCTTGGTTCAATCCCCGAAACCCCATATGGTCCCCCAAGCCTACCAAGAGGGACTCCTTAGTATAGAGCCAAGAGTAAGTCCTGAGAACTGCCAGTGAGGCTCAAACAACCCCAAAATAATAAAAAGTAATGAAATGATTCATTTGACAGCTGAAGCAGCAGAAGGTGCAACTCTGATTGACCTTTTAAATTTTCAGGGTGATAGACACGCTTGCACTAATGAGTACAGGTCCAGAAAAACAAACCACTGGGCCACACAGGTGGTGCCATTTACATGGCTCAAGTGAGATTCTCAAGCCACTGCTCACTGGAGCCCAGCTGGAGCTGAAACTAAGCATAATTAGTTTCTTCTGAAATGGCATCAGTATTTCCACCTGTATATCTGGATGGCATTTACTCAGTTCTCAGCTACAAAAAAAAGAAAAAGGGATAAAAGCTACCACTGAACCCCAATAAACAAACAAATAGATGGATGCAGCAAGATACCCAATTATCTCGGCAATCTGGCAAAAGAAGTGAGAGAATTAAGACACAGATATGCATCGCTAAATTGAAACGTCTCTCCTGTAAGTTTTGGGGTTTGTTTTTATTTTTGGTTAGTGAAGCAAAATAGCCTTGATTGAAATCCCACAAACAAGTAAAGAAAGCTTACTGAATGTAGATTCTTTCAGAGGGCTGGAACTGGAGCTGCTGCAGTTATCTGAAATGTCCAACTCATCTTCTAGCTCTGAATAGATATCTGTGCGTGGAGCAGAAAAGTAAGAGGCCAATGAGCGTGGAAAGAGAAAGGTGTGACACATGCACCAAAGCAGACACTGCCCCTCGCCCTTTCCCTGGGAGTGACTGTTCTCCCGTTGTTCACGATTTTCTCAAGCGGGCCCAGTAACGTCTCCGTGGTGAGACTTTGTTGTTACTCTGTTTGGCATATCGAATACGTCACGGGGTACCTTTCTCAATATTTTCCAGGTTGAAGTTATCATCTGACAAGATTTCATCACAGGCCCTGTCTTCATCCTTGCCGCAGGGAGCCTGGAAGCCTTCAGGGGGCAGGTCTGCACTTTCTGATAGTTCACTTTTCAGGCTAGCGGCCCCACTGCTGCTGCTACTCAGGCTTGCCTTCTCAAAGGTTTCCTGCCAAGAAGACATTCCAGTTTTAGCCGCCTCTCCCTCCTTCCTTCTGCAACCCTTCCAAGATTAGCATAATTAGGTTTTTCTGAAACAGCATCAGTATTTCCACCTGTATATCTGGACAGAATTCATTCAGTCCTCAGCTATGGAAAAAAAAGGAAAGGTCTATAAGCTACCATTGGACCCCCAAAACAAATATAAGCAGATGTCGCAAGATAACCAGTATCTTTTCAATCTGGCAAAAGAAACTAGGGAATGAAGAATAGATATGGATCAACTAAACTGAAATTTCTATCCTTTAGGTTTCTGTTTCTTGTGTGTGAGTGAAAAAAAAAATTTTAATTGACAGAAATTCAGAGATGTGAGGGGAGAAAAAGAAAGATAGTGCTCAAGAGAGAACCTGGGCTTCCTCAGAGAAGGGGAAAGTCATCCTTTTAGCTACTTTTTAAAATATCTGTTGTCAATTCTGTGCAGCACTAGAGTGGTAAGCAAGGCTTTGTTTTCACCCAGGTAATAGAAAGAGAGAAGAGGGAAAGTTTGTTTATATCCAGGTAATGCAAAGAGAGAAGTCCCCTTCCCTACAGCCCTTCCTCTGTCCCTTCATCCCTTGAAAGATGAGGGCCTGCCTGGCAAGGGGACCTTCAAATCACTGTCTTCATCACCTCTCCCCACAGGCAGTCCTGTCTCCCCTCAACTGCCAGGAGCATTTGCTACCAGAGGTACTGCCACATCACTGCCAGCCTTGAGAGCTCACATTACCCTGCACAGCATTCAGGGAAACTGCAAGCCTTATGTTTGACAAACAGCATCACTGTTCTGAAAGAATGGAAAAGCTGGAAGTCTTGATTTTTCCCAGCAAATGATACGTGACCACTAAAAATGGTACCTCCTGTTTCTTGACACAAGTAATTCTCAGAACTCACATGCTCATTATTAGGAATAGTCTATAGCAAGTGAAACACAGAAGTGAAAACTTTTCCCACCCCACGGGGGTCAAACAGAACTGAGAAACCTGAGGTATATACCTAAGAGATAAAGACAAAAAAAGCTTCTTCATGAGAATAATTGGGTGGTAAGAGAAGAAGGCAAAAGACTGCATTTTTTTCACTTTCATTTGCTGAAAAAATTTATACTAGCTTTTTTCTTAATAAATTATGTCTTTTATTAAAGCAACAATACATCATAGCAGTATATAACTTCAGGTATATATCACTGAAAATCAACATGTGTAAATATATATATATATATAGTTGTTTCTGAAAAATCCATCCTATCCGTCAAATAATTGAAACCCTTTGTTATGACTTACCCACTCCCCATTCCATTTCCTTTTGCTATCTCCAATTTCTCTATATTAGAAAAAATTAATTTTATGATTTGCTCGAACGGGCCCAGTAACATCTCCATTGGAGACTTTGTTGTTACTGTGTCTGGCATATCAAATTTTATGATATATATTCATTCCCATGTCTATTGCAACATTATTATAACAGACAAGAACTAGAAATAAGTTAAGTTTTCATAGATTGCCAAATGGATAGAGTAGGTGTGCTCTGCATATACAATGGAACACTATTCATCTATTAAAAAGATTTTGATGTTAGTGTCAGTATGGTGGCTGGAGCAATAGTACCATGGGTAGGGCGTTTGCCTTGTATGCAGGTGATCTGGGTTCGATTCCTCCATCTCTCTCAGAGAGCCTGGCAAGCTACCAAGAGTATCTCACCTGCACAGCAAAGCCTGGCAAGCTCACTGTGGCATATTCGATATGCCAAAAACAGTAATAACAAGTCTCACAATGGAGACATTACTGGTGCCTGCTCGAGCAAATCGATGAACAAAGGGAGGACAGTGCTACAGTGCTATAGTGCCAATATGGATGGACCTTGAGAGTATCATGCTAAGTGAAATTAAACCAGGTGGAGAAAGGCCAACAAGGTATGATTTCACTCATATGCAGCATACAGAGGGAAAACAAAAAACAAAAATAGATTAACTGAGACTGCATTCATTGACAGTGGAAAAAAATTCCACATGGGACTTTGATCCAAAATTGCTTCAGTCATATGTGACTTACCTTTAGTTACCATTTTTATTTTGAATAAATTATCTTGTACCCTATTATAAATTATCTTGTACCTAAAGGCCGCAATTTGATCCTTGTAAGAATTGGATAGGAAACATATGTGAATATTGAAAAAATGCAAAAAAAATTTTAAGTTGAGAAAACTTTTTAATGAGTTGTTGCAATTAAATTCCAGAATTCATATATCTTTAAAACTAGCAAAACTTACCAAAGGCATTATTTCTTTCAAGAATAGCACAGATAAGGTCAGAGGATGACAAAAAATAAATGAATGAGTGAACAATGGTCAAAAATTATGTTTCCTGGGGGCTGGAGCGATAATACAGCAGGTAGAGTGTTTGCCTTTCATACACCCAACCCGGGTTTGATCCCCAGCATCCCATATGGTCCTCTGAGCACTTCCAGGAGTAATTCCTGAGTGCAAAGCCAGGAGTAACCCCTGTGCATCACCAGGTGTGACCCAAAAAGAAAAAAAATATGTATCCTGATTAGGCCATTCTAGACTTAAGGAGATTCTGTTCATAAAAATTACAAAATAAACCACTTGGTTATAAATCAACAGTTATTTAATGACTGTCAAAATTTTGTATCTATGAAATTGGGTGTTTGCTTAAAATCTTACAAAGAAGGAGTCACAAATTGAGAAATGCTATGACAGGTGATAGGCGTGAAGGCTATGAAAAAATAATGTAAAGTGTGTAGTTTGTTGTTTTTTAAAAGCCTTTATTTCTCTAATATCTGGTAGCAGTTTTTGCTTTAAAATATCTCTATGTCTTAGGCCAGACAGAGAGTATAGGGGGTAATGAACTTGTCTGACACATGAGAGACACCAATTTGATCACTGGCACTGCCAGGAATGGTCTCAGCACTGATCACTCAGAGCTAGAAGAAAGTCCAAAGAATAGGCAGGTGTGGCCACAAAACAAACAAAATGTGTTTCTTTGTTTTTCAATTGCCATACACTGTACACTACTGTACAGTATCTGTACACTATCCCAAATGTGATTTCCAGAGTTTTCCCCATGTGGAATATTTGAGAATCTAATTCACTATTCAATTCATACCATGAAGCACTCTTTGAAGAAGGGCTACCTAAGCCACTTTTGAATCTTTCACTCCTTCATACAATGACTTGCTCATGGCAAAAGTGAGCTCAAAGAGACAGAAAATTCAGATGTGCTGGTGAAATACCTGATAAGTTGAATGATTATGGGCATATTATCTGGTTCCTCTATCAAGGAGCATACACCATGAAGGCATGATTTGGAGATACACCTATGGGCAAGAGTGACCCTCTCTACCCTTTCTTCCATGCATCGTAAGAAGCCACAAAGTGGGCTTGGGACAGGGATGCAGGGACAGAATGCAAGGTACTAAAGTGCATGCTTCACATGTAGGAGGCCCAGGTTTGATTCTTGGTACCACCTGGTCCCCTGAGCCTGGGTGTCACTGACTGGCTAGAGGAGGAAGAGGAGGGAAGAGGAAGGAGGAGAGAAAGAAGTTTAAAAGTGATCCGTTTGGTTATGACAACAAATTTCCATCACCCTATAGGTATGAGCAAAGACTGAAGATGGATTTTTTGGAGAGCTACATTTTCAGGATATGGGATTTGGCTACCATTGTTTTCTTGATAATTGTTTTTGAAACACCGAGCAGTGACCAGGGGCTATTTCTGATTCTGTGTTCAGGAGTTCTGAGTTCACATACTCAGGGAACCAAATGTGGCACTGGAAATTCTAACCAGGGTGAGCAGAGTGTGAGGAAAGCACCTTCACTCCTATACTATCTCTCTGGCCCATCATCCTAATTTCCCAATTAAGTATTTTTAGTAGAAAAGAGAGTTAACTATATTTGGAGGAGTATATGCTTCCCTTGGGAAGAGTTGAATGCACGTGTTCTAAAGATCAATATGGCAGCAAAAAGAATACTGCAGACAATGAAATTATCAGTAACATGGGGCTGGGAGTCACAGTCCAGAGGGCAGAGTGTTTGCTTTTTATTCGATCCCTGGCACCACATTATATAGAAAACAGTCTCAAAGCTCAACCTGCTGCCAGGGCTGGGGGAGGTAGCAGCTGGGCCCCTCCTACTCTTTGGTGGCAGAAGTGGCAACTGCAGCCCCGGGGATAAGGTGAGGTAGAGAGAGAGAGGTGCTGAGCTCTGAGCGACCCTCTCCTTGGCTGATACCCCCAAAGATGCTGCTCGGGGACAGCTGGCACAGACCTGGCCAGAGGACAAGGTTGGATGTGAGTGGCTGAGAGGGCCCCTGAGTCCTGCCAGAAGTGATCCCTGAGAGCAAAGTCAGGAGTAAACACTGAGCACTGCTAGGTATGGCCCAAATAAACAAACAAACCAAAAAAAAAAAAATAGTGACATAGAAATAATTGCCATTATCGAAGATACTACCTGTAATAGTGCTTGAATGGGCACAATGATAGTTTAGCTTGGTTTTGATCATTATAATACACCTTTAATTTTTTGTTTTGTTTTGTTTTGGGCCACATGCAGATGTGCTCAGGGCTTACTCCAGACTCTGCACTCAGAGATAACTCCTGGTGGGCTCATGGGACCATATGTGATGCCAGGGATCAAACCTGGGTTAGCTCTGTGCAAGACTATCCCTCTAGCTCCATGAATACACTTTTATTGTGTGCAGCAGATCATAATACATTTTTAATTGAATAGCAAATCTAAGAGTAACAGACTGAAATTTCCTAAATTACCTATAATACTAGGGAAAGAATTAAGAGAATCTATTTTATTAAAACTGACACTTTTTAATTGCCAAAATATTATTTTTAAAGAAGCTAGAAAGAAAAACAAGAAATGAAATATAAAGCTCACAGCTATATTCTGCAGATGCTTTATTTTAGAACTATAAAAGAAAAAATCGTGTTCTATTTTTTTGTGTGTGTTA